GATTGGCTCATTTCTGACCTTCTTCGTCCTGGTCACCCCCAGTGATCTCTGCCACCTCCAGCTCCTGCACCACCTTCCCTTTCACTCTTGAGATCACCAGTCATCCCTGACACTCCAGCTTTGCCCACTCCAGCCCGCCTGTTCTTCTTGTTCACCGTGTGTTGGCATTTAAGTGCATCTTCATCTGATTTCATTTGTTTTTAATGACTTCCTCTCATCTGCAGAGCATAACTTCACTTCTCCAGGCTCCCTTTTCTCTTCTCTACAAATCATAACGTCATCTGTGAAGATCACGGTCCGTGGAGGCTACAGGACGTCAATCGTTACAACTTCTTCTGGGTGCAAAAGGTTAGCATCACACCGATGTACTCACCCACATAAAATAAAGCTGATAGAAGGACGTATAACAGTCAGCTCACAGCCAGTGAACGAATAAAAAGACACCAATGACAAGTTTTAATTATAAAGCATTTAATGGCCGGCAGCACTGATGGAGTGTGGATGTAACGTTAGAGGTGACGAACATTTAGTTCAGATGGAAACGACGGTTCTCCCTCTGAATGATCCTCCAGCACCAAAATATAAAATCACCTGGCAGCTCTGAAGCTGAGCAGACAGGTGAGCAGGTTACCTGCATGCTCCTGCTCTGCAGCAAAGACAGCATGGTAACCGTATATAAAGACACAGGCTGATTGCATTTTAAAAGCATCAAGGCTCCAGCCAGAGTATTTCAGTTAAACCAAGTGATCCTCTGAATAAGAAGAAAGCGAAGACGAACTGAGCACTAATGTCAGTTATGCAACAGAGAAACAGGGACGAGCAACAATGGAGGCCATTGTAAAGCAAAGGTCTCGTGTATAGGCTGGCATGCACATTAATACATCTGAATTATGTGAATGATTGAGAATCTGCTCTATCAAAAGGTCACTATTGTAGCGAACACACAACAGACACACATCAGCTCCTTTAAACACGAGATGCAAGAGACTGGGAGAGAAATT